TGTTAAACTTTATCTTCCAATTTTCTTCATAATTGATCAAGAACATGCCTGAAATAGAATGAGCCAAAAATCCTAAAGTGGTTGGTGTATGGTTTGTGTCCAAACCAGATTTCTTTAGGAGTTGCACCCTACAATCTCTTGGTTGGACTTCTATTCAGAATGTAGGCAGTTGTATAAACTACTTCCCCCCACAAATACTTTGACAATACCTTGCTTCTCAGTGGCACAACCCAAAAATTTCCGATCTTGCGACCTATGGTTTAGATATTCTTTCAAAAATCTCATCAATTAAAGAATTCCCGGACACCAGACTAATCCTTAATTAATGATTTTGAAAAATGGTTCATGGAGTCGCCACCAATGTTTTACTCAAAACATTGGAAAAAGAAAAGGTTTTTAAAAGTCCAATAATGGCCTTAATAACCAGAATTGGGTTCGGGGATCGGTTACGTGTAGAGAAGGTATTAAGTACCCCTACAACGCCCTTTATCGGTACCCTTATGATGAAGTTAGCATAGTAAAAATAATAATATAAATACTTAATCCCCTTTAAGAATGGTTATTGCATGCCGAAATTTAAATTAAGCGATTAACCCTAAAATGTCTACATATTTGCTTTTATTATAACAATATTTAAAATAACAGAAGTGAAAGCTGGAGCAAGAGATTGATGAGAAATACCTCGTAGGAAGCTTTATTAGATCTTCAACTACGGAGACTTTTAGGCACTTTTTGGCTACCTTTCACACTACAATATGTCTCACAAAACTCAAGAAATACAATAGGAGGGAGAGAGAGAGAAATTTTGAGCTCTAAGGAGTCTTGGAAGAAATTTTGTGGCCCCGAGAACTGTGCCCGAGTCTGGTATTTGTAGACATCAGAAAGTGGCCAGAATGGCCTGTTCTAAAATCGGAACGACTCGTTCCGGATCTGACCGTTATGTGTTAATTTTGTAACTAGAACGGCCTGTTGTTAAACTAGAACGACACATTCCAATTTTGTAACTGTAGACACCCAATTTCGTTCGGGAGGCATACAAACGAAGAAATGGACGTCTATTATCAAGAAAAGGAGCTCCCAATCATGGAAATAACAGGACATCACATCAGAAGGCTAAAAGCTCAAAAAAGCTAGTTTTAGTAGCCCGGAACGGGCTGTTCCAAAACTGGAACGGGCCGTTCCAATTTACAAAAAGAGCCTAAAACCCTAAACTGGAACGGGTCATTTCAAAATCGAAACGGGTCGTTCCAAAGTTGGAATGGGCCGTTCCAAAATTGGAACGGGCCGTTTCAGGCTCTTTAAAAAAGGCTAAAACATACATTTGGAACGGGCCGTTCTCAAATTGGAACGGGCCGTTCCAAATAACAAAAAAGGCTTAAATCCTTAATTTGGAATGGGCCGTTCCAGAATGGCATTTATGTGTTAAACGCGCCTCTGGAACGGGTCGTTCCGATTTCAGAACGGCCCGTTCCAATACACTCAATTAACACGTAACGGCCAGATCCAGAACGGGCCGTTCCAATTT